TTTTTCATGCTGTAATAGTGTGTGTGTGTGTGTATTCCATGCCCCTTGTAGCAGTGGTTAAAGTATCCTTCTGTGGAGAGACAGAATGACAGATTAAGAGTGAGAGACAACCAAAAAGATAATGCATATGAAGGTGTTACGTGTAGAGAGAAGTAAACGTGTGTCTCTCTTGCTCTCTCCTCCCCTTGTCCTGCAGGTGAGAGAGGTGGAGGATTGGCTGGCCCTGCCTCCATAGCATCCTGTGGATTGGCTCACACTCCAGCCATTTCAGCAATCAAAGATGGAGGACACTATTTAAAGCTTCTCTCTCTTTTTGCTCTCGCTCTCTCTGACTTTGTCCATTAAGGTTTGTGGTGGGGAAATGGTACTGAGATAAAGCTGGGGTACCCTGTACATTCATACACTCAGAGACGGTTGTTGCCACCAATGTATTTCTATTACTTTTGGACACTTTGGTAGATAAGATAGTCAGGCCTTTTGTTGTCTTTTTCCTTTCCACACAGTGTTGAGCTAGGCCCTATTTTATTGTACTTTGCTTATTTTGTTTGGTACAACCCCCACATTTCACTCTCCCCCCCCACCTTTTTCAAACCTACATTTGTTGTTTACTTTTTAAGTATTAATATTAACTGCCTTTGTCCCTGCAGTTCTTTCTTCATTTGTTGTCAGAATTATTGTTTCCACTTCCATTTTCTGCTGTAAAATATGACTTGATCATATTTACATGACACAATCTGTTTCTGCGATCAGGAGTTTAAATGATGAAGTTAGTGTCACTAACTTTCTTCTCCACAACAAAGGGACCGGAAATTTTTGCAGATAGAGCAGAACCAGAGATAGGAGAAAGAATCAAAACCTTGTCACCAGGTTGAAACGAGTGGGCAGTGGATTTCTTTATTTTCACCTGATAGGAGGATAGAGATTCTCTGGGCAAAGAGCAGGCGCTCTGAAGCCGAGCTCTGAGTTTCCTAACATACTCAGGGATGCTACGGACCGTCTTCCCTTCTGGCAAAAGAAGTTGTTCTTTTAGAAGTTTTAAGGGGCCACGGACCTCATGTCCACTACTAACACTAGTTTGGCAGGACTAAATCCGAGTGACTCCTGTACAGCTTCACGAGCAGCAAACAAAACTAATGGCACAGCATCATCCCAGTCCTTTCGACTCTCAAAACAGTGTTTCCTGCGCATGGACTTCAAGGTCTGATGAAACCTTTCTAGTGCCCTTTGGCTTTCAGGATGATATGGGCTTGAAATTATATGCTTAATGCCTAAGGTTTTAAGTACCTGGGAAAAGACTTGGGACGTGAAATTGGTACCTTTATCGGTCTGAACCACCTTAGGAAGTCCAAACATCGTAAAGAACTTCATAAGAGCTGGAACTGGAGCTGTGATCTTCTGTAGCGGAACAGCCTCTGGGAACCTAGTATACACTAAGTTCTACACATAATAGTTAGAAGAAATTGGTTGACAGATTTAGTCTTTGATAATGGTCTCACTTTTTTAAATGGCTCACCCATCACGGGTATGGGACAGAGTGGGGCAGGAGAAACCACTTGGTTTGGTTTGCCAGTTACCTTGCACACGTTACAAGCGGCAATTTGCACCACATCAGACTTGAGTCCTGGCCAGAAGAAATGTCTAAGGACTATCATACGTCTTCGTGATACCTAGAAGTCCAGCCCACGGATTGTCATGAGCCAGAGACAGTACCTGAGATCGATATGCCGCTAGGACCACAACTTGATAGGTTGCATTCCAGTCTCCACCATCAAAGACATTGCCACTCCAACAGCGAATCAGCAAACCATGATCCATGAGGTAGGCCACTTTCTTTCTCTTTGCATCTTTAACATTAAGAACAGAAGACAGTTTAGTGTTTTGTCACTCTATTGGGCTGCATTAAACTCCTCTTGTGGCCAGCAGTTCCACTGCCTCTGCACTTGAGATACCGGACTGCTCATGGTTACCGTATTTTCCGCACGATTAGGCGCACCTAAACGCCTTCAATCGTTTCAAAAGCTGATCATGCGCCTAATAATACAATGCGCCTTGTATATGGCCCAGTATTAAAACGCATACAGGTCTCAGTTACGGTAAGCAGCCGCGACTCGATTTTCTCCCGTAATAGTGCGCAGTGCATGCTGGGATACCGGGAAACTGGCGTTTCATTTCCATTTTAATATTTTTGTAAATACCCTGAAATGGCTCCTACCAAAAGACACGCGTACAACGCTGAGTTTAAACTCAAGGCGATAAGCCACGCACAAGAACACGGCAATAGAGCAGCAGCGAGAGAATTTAATATCAATGAATCAATGGTGAGGAAGTGGAGGAAGTATGAGGATGAGCTCCGCCAAGTAAAGAAGACAACACAGAGTTTCCGCGGGAACAAAGCGAGATGGCCACAGTTAGAGGACAAAGTTGAACAGTGGGTTGCTGAACAAAGAGCAGCAAGCAGAAGTGTTAGTACAGTCACAATTCGTATGAAGGCAATAGCGCTAGCTCGCGAACATAACATCAGTGAATTCAGAGGCGGTCCTTCTTGGTGCTTCCGTTTTATGAAACGACGTCATCTCTCCATCCGTACGCGCACTACTGTGTCACAACAACTACCAGCTGATTATCAGGAAAAGTTGGCCACTTTCCGCACATACTGCAGAAACAAGATAACTGAAAAAAAGATCCAGCCAGAGCATATCATCAATATGGACGAGGTTCCACTCACCTTCGATATCCCTGTAAACCGCACTGTGGATAAAACAGGAGCACGTACGGTGAATATTCGCACCACAGGGAATGAGAAAACGTCCTTCACTGTAGTTCTCGCCTGCCAGGCTAATGGCCACAAACTTCCACCCATGGTTATTTTCAAGAGGAAGACCTTGCCGAAAGAAAACTTTCCAGCTGGCATTGTCATAAAAGCTAACTCGAAGGGATGGATGGATGAAGAAAAGATGAGTGAGTGGTTGAGAGAAATTTATGTGAAGAGACCGGGTGGTTTTTTTCACACAGCTCCGTCCCTATTGATCTATGACTCCATGCGCGCACATATCACCGAGCATGTCAAAAAACAAGTGAAGCACACTAATTCAGTGCTCGCCGTCATTCCGGGTGGATTAACAAAAGAACTCCAGCCGCTCGATGTTGGCGTCAACAGAGCATTCAAAGCTCGACTGCGAACTGCGTGGGAGCAGTGGATGACCGAAGGCGAACACACGTTCACCAAGACGGGGAGACAGCGCCGGACGACATATGCTAATATCTGCAAGTGGATAGTAAATGCCTGGGCTGGTATATCAGTCACAACTGTGGTCCGAGCTTTTAGGAAGGCAGGAATTGTCACCGAACTGCCAGACAACAGCAGCGACACTGACTCGGTTAATGATGACTTTGATAAGACGGAGCCAGGCGTTTTGGATGCCGCAATAGCCCAGCTGTTCAATTCGGACACGGAAGAAGAAGTTTTCGAGGGATTTTAGATAAGGAACTGAGAAAGTGAGCTTTACGTTTACAGAGTTATTATTGTTCTTGTTGCTTGTTGCTTTGTTGTTTTGTTTTCTTGTTAATAAAGTTTGACTGACCTATCTGACTGCTAATCATTAGATGCATAACGCATCCATCAGTCAGGCACACACGAGGCACACCACAGGACCAAAATATTTTAAGTATATTTATTGAAATCACAAATTGGCGCTAATCGTTGATAAGCACAAGATTTATTTGCACTTAATTAATTAAAAACGAGTAAAACGCAGGAAAAGTGAAATGCGCTCCACTTCTGCTAAGACGCTGTCACCTGTTTGGTTCAGCGCTGTTGTGTCTGTGTGAACACAGATCCTTTCTGCAGTGAGGATGTCACACACTCTCTCTCTCTCTGTGCGTGACTAGCGTTCTATTGTCAGGAAATATCACAGAGTGTGGCATCGTTTCATACAGCGATGATCTTTGTAAGAGTCAAAATCTCTGCGGAAACAGCCCAAGCAGCTAAAGCTCTAAGTTACAGTGTGATCGTTATTTTAACACTGTGATTTCCAGCGGAATTATTTCTTACATATCGTGTTAAGGAATATAAGTTAAGATTTATCTGAGAGCCAGATGCAGTCGTCAAAAGAGCCACATGTGACTCGCGAGCCATAAGTCCCCGACCCCTGATCTAATGGATGCGTTATGCATCTAATGGATGCATAACGCACCGTAACTCCAGCCTCTACTTTAGCGCCTTATGCGAAGCGTTTTATTAAAGGTGCGCCTTATGATGCGATGCGCCTTATATATGTAAAATAATTAAAATACGTCATTTATTGAAGGTGCGCCTTTTGATGCGGTGCGTCTTTTCGTGGCGCAAAATACGGTAGATTGAAACAGTGATGGATCCTCAGATTGAGTTTCAGTACTAGGCGGCTGATCTACAAGGAGTCAGACAGGTCAGATTCGTATTTCTTTG